GAGGTTCTTCATTCCTTTGGAGACCGTAATCATTGTATATTGGTAAGATCTCAGGAGATTCATTTTAATGGTACTGAGATATTGGCAATATAGCATTCACAGTATTTAAGTATATTGATCGTTAAAAATTGGGAATGTGAAATTTGAGAAATTATAGATTTGTAAGTTCATGGTATGGAGTTTTGGAAATTTTAATATCTGTGAACGTAGGATTTTGGATATTTAAGGGATTTGGAAAAGTAGGGACTTGGAAAGCAATGAGTTTGGAAATTTGGGAATTAAAAATTTAGGAATGTAAGTGAGTAAGGATTTCGGAATCTTGTAAATTTGGAATCTAGGGAATTGGAAATCTTGAGAATTGGGAATCTAGAGAATTCCATGTCTAGGTTATTGGGAATCTAAGTAATTCGGTATCTAGAAAATTTGAAGTCTAGGGAATTTTTAGTCTAGAGATTCGGTGTCTAGGTAATTGGAAATCTGGGGAATTTCTAATCTAGGGAATTCGGTGTCTAAGTAATTGGAAATCTAGGGAATTTTGAATTATAGGGAATTGGGGTTCTGGGGAATTCGACGCCTAAGTAATTAAAAATCTAGGGAATTTTGAATCTATAGAATTCGGTGCTTAGATGAGTAGAAATCTAGGGAATTTTTAATCTACGGAATTGGGGATCTAGGGAATTCGGTGTCTAGGTAAGTAGGAATCTAGGGAATTTCGATTCTAGGGAATTCGGTGTCTAGGTAATTGGAAATTTAGGGAATTGAGAATCTAGACAATTGGAGATCTAGGTAATTGAAAATCTAGAGAATTAGAAAACCTAGGGAAACGGGAATCTAAAAAATTAAAAATCTGGGAAATAGGGAGTGTAGAGAATTGAAAACTAAGAAATCGAAAATATAGGGAACTAAGAATCTAAAAAAGTGGAAATTTAAGATTTTGTAACTTTTGTAAATATAATCCGGAAATATAAAAAAATTGAAATCTGAACTTGAAATCCATAAAAAATTATGTCAACAATAATGCAAAGCGATATACGTGACAAACATGTTGCTACGCTTTGACCCGTAAAACCAAATCGATCCAGTTCAATCTGTTTTATCGCCCGAATCGCAATACGGAAATGGTTCGTTCGAAAAAACTGGCAAGGGATGAATGATTCCCGATCGTCTACAGACAGATTTTACTGTATTTGCGTCGGTTGATAAGAAAGCCAGGCGGTCATCTCGATGCAGCGTGCCTGCACTCCACGCTCGCACACGCTCAGCAGAAAGTGCATCGTGTGCTACCGGTGGCGCGCGCATACTCTTCCTGTTGTCATCTCTTTCTCGTTCCCTCCCCACATCTCTCGAGTCTCTCTGTTCATTCTTTACGATCCTCTGTTCTCTCTGTTACTCGTTCCTTCTGTTCGGTCGATCACCCTCCGCTCCAACCTCTTCGTCCGGTTCGAGCTTCTCTCTCGTTTTCCTCCGCGCTGTACGCGCGCGATCCCGATAGCGGTTCAGCTGATAGCTGACGTCGCGCCTTTTCTGTACCCCTTTCCCGCTTCTATTTTGCTCCTCCTTTTCCGCGACACCTAACACCCCAAATATTGCCGTCGCTATGGCTGTGTGAAATTGCGGGTGTCTTGTGCTTTTTTTGGTAGTTCAATTGATATCGAAATTTGGGTCTGCATGTACATGTATTGGTTCTGCATATATAGCCTTTATTAAATTAGATCGGTGCAAGGATTTAGAAATGCAAGTAATTCTACCACTCAATTATCTTTGATATTAAACCATACTTGCAGATTAAAGAATAAGAATGATGAGAATATCCAAAGTTTCACATAATCTATACTAACTGAATTTTTATTACGTGCAAACGTGTGCAACACGTAGCAATGCAACATGTAATACAACGCATGATAAGGCATCGCGTGCTGCTGCAACGCATACACCATTATCAATAGTTCAACGAGTGCTAATACAATACGTGGTTCAATATGTGGCAGTGCAATGATAATGCAACGCGTAGTAATGCAACATATGATGCAACGGGTAGAATCATAGCGTGGAGGATTGCAACGCCTGATAATGCAACCCTTGGTAAGGTAATGCATGCAAATACTTGCGGCAATGCAACTCTTGATAACGTAACCCGTGCATCGCGCTAAAGTGCAATATGTGGAGTTACAATGATTGGCAATGCAACGCGTGGTAGTACAACGCGTGGTAATGCAATATGTCGAAGTGCAACGCGTGGTGGTGCAACCCGTGGTACTGCAACTCTTGCAAATGCAACGCCTGGTAGTGCATCGGGTAGTAGTACAACGCATGGTAAGACGATGCATCGAAATGCAACGCATTGCACTGCAATGCGTGGTAATGCAGCTCTATGTAATGCGGCACGTCGTAGATGCAACGCATAGTAATACAACGCGTGGTAGTGCAACCTGTGCTATTGTAACGCGTGGTAGATGCAACGCGTGGTAGATACAACGCATGGTAGATGCGACGCGTTGTAGATGCAACGCGTGGTATTGCAACGCGTGGTATTGCAACGCGTGGTATTGCGACGCGTGGTATTGCAACGCGTGGTAGATGCAACGCGTGGTAGATGCAACGCGTGGTATTGCAACGCGTAGTATATGCAACTCGTGGTATTGCAACGCGTGGTAAATGCAACGCGTGGTAGATGCAACGCGTGGTATTGCAATGCGTGGTATTGCAACGCGTGGTATTGCAACGCGTAGTATATGCAACTCGTGGTATTGCAACGCGTGGTAAATGCAACGCGTGGTAGATGCAACGCGTGGTATTGCAATGCGTGGTATTGCAACGCGTGGTATTGCAACGCGTAGTATATGCAACTCGTGGTATTGCAACGCGTGGTAAATGCAACGCGTGGTAGATGCAACGCGTGGTATTGCAATGCGTGGTATTGCAACGCGTGGTATTGCAACGCGTAGTATATGCAACTCGTGGTATTGCAACGCGTGGTAAATGCAACGCGTGGTAGATGCAACGCGTGGTATTGCAATGCGTGGTATTGCAACGCGTGGTATTGCAACGCGTGGTATTGCAACGCGTGGTATTGCAACGCGTGGTATTGCAACGCGTGGTATTGCAACGCGTGGTATTGCAACGCGTGGTATTGCAACGCGTGGTATTGCAACGCGTGGTATTGCAACGCGTGGTATTGCAACGCGTGGTATTGCAACGCGTGGTATTGCAACGCGTGGTAGATGCAACGCGTGGTATTGCAACGCGTGGTATTGCAATGCGTGGTATTGCAACGCGTGGTATTGCAACGCGTGGTAGATGCAACGCGTGGTATTGCAATGCGTGGTATTGCAACGCGTGGTTTGCAACGCATGGTAGATGCAACTCGTGGTATTGCAACGCCTGGTAAATGCAACGCGTGGTATTGCAACGCGCGGTAAATGCAACGCGTGGTAGATGCAACGCGCGGTATTGCAATGCGTGGTATTGCAACGCGTGGTATTGCAACGCATGGTAAATGCAGCGCGTGATATTGCAATGCATGATAGATGTAAAGCGTGATAAATGCAACGCATGGTATTACAACGCGTGGTAAATGCAGCGCATGGTATAACAACGCGTGGTAAATGCAGCGCATGGTATTACAACGCGTGGTAAATGCAACGCGCAGTACTACGACGCGTTGTAGTGCAACCTGTGGTTTTGCAACGCGTAGTAATTCAACGCATAATAGTACGACACGTGGTAGTGCAACCTGTGGTATTGCAACGCGTGGTGGTGCATCGCATGGTGGTACATCGCGTGATAATGCAATTCAGTACAATTTAGTGCAAAATCTTACATATTCCACGTCCCAAAAATGCACTGCAAAAACCCTCCATCTCAAATCCCAAATTACCATAAATTGACAATTTCGGTCTATGACCCTGTATCTACCCTTAATCTGTCTATTGACCCTTCCTATCACTCTCCTAACCTATCGCCTACCACATGAATTTCCAATTCCGATCCCCGAATCGTCATCGAAAGACAATTGACAATACCTCATTGAAAAACGAGACCCGTCCAAACCCGCGAATGAACTTGAGAAACTGGAGAACACGGAAGAAAAACGAAGACGTGTGCGATTCAGGTTCTAGCGGTTGTTGAACGCTCGCATGACGTAGTGTGTCGCGATTGTGTGCGGTCGCGCGCGCACACTCGCGAGTGTTTCGCGGTAGAGTGACGTCACTTGGATGGGTGGGTGCATCGGAGGAGCAGCGATAACGACGAAGAGGTCCGAGAGATGCAAAGAACTTCCGCGTTCTTCTTCGAATCAGAACGTGTCTTTGGAGTGTCGTCGAGCCACTTTAGACGAGACGCGAGCGAGCACGCGCTCGCGCTTCGATCTTCATTAAACTCGCTCTTCCGAACCGCGATCGGATCGATTCGAGTTCCACCGAGAGAGTCAATTAACCCGGATACACCGATCAATTCTGAGGATGATGTACGATCGAAATACCGGCGAATCGAATTCCGAGACTCGGCACGCGTCGCTTGGGGTGAGCTATCGATCACTGATCGATTCGGGGGAATTGCGAGTTAGACCGATTCACGATTGAGTCGGGAGTCAAATGTTTGAGTCTCAGACATAATACTGGCTCGAACGTAAAATTATAATTATTGATGAAACTTGATAAACTTTGACTCTCGCATATGATACTGGTTCGAACGTAAAATGATAATTATTGATGAAACTTGATAAACTTTGACTCTCGCATATGAAACTGGTTCGAACGTAAAATGATAATTATTGATGAAACTTGATAAAGTTTGTCAGGAAATTTTCATCCTTAATTTAGTACTGAAATATCTTGATGTTCATGTAATTACTAAGTTTTTGATTGACGTTGATACCAATCGGTAGTCTGTAAACACGTTGTTTATTTCACGACTGTTTATTAGAAGAAGTGAAGCTAATATTGACATGCGAATGATAAGAATTTCGAGATAATGATACATGTGATATGATCTTTTTGCAGCCGTTAAATTCGGGCGCATGTCGAAGAAGCAGCGGGAGAAGGTCGAGGACGAAGTTAGGTTCCACAGGGCACAAATGAGAGCGGCCTCGGAGACGGCGCCCGATAGCAGTGTATTCGAACATCAGACCCCAAGCAGTTCGGATCAACACCACCCCTACAACGGCGGGTGAGAAATTCAAAAAATTGTTCTATTTTAAATACTTATTAAAATATTTCATATTTGGGAATATGGGGATCTGGGAGATTTAGATATGTGAATATGGGAAGAGAATATGGAGATGTAGATTAGGGAGATATTAGATTAGGTAGGTTAGGGATATAGGGATTGGAGTGTAGGGATCTGTGGATGAAGGAATGTGAACATATAAGAATCTAGGTGCATATTAGGATATATAGGTGTGGATTGGGTTAGACATCAAAAGATATAGGAATATAAGGATTTAAAGATATAGAGACATGTGGAGATATAGAAATCTAAGGATATAGGGATGTAGAAATCTAGAAATGCAGGTATCTAAGAATGGAATGATGTAAAATTTAAAGGAACTAAAAATGTGGGGATATATAGAGAATAGATATCTACATATGTAGATCTACATATGTAGATCAGAAAATTTATGGGATTCTGGATAAAGGAATCTGGGGACATCCAGACATAGAGGGATACAAGGATATACAGATGTGGTTGAAAAAGATATAGCAATCTAGGGATCTAGAAATGCGAAAGTCTCTAATGATCTAAAATTTAAGAGCTCTAGAAATCTAGAGAGATAAAGACGTCAAAATCTAGAGATACAAAAATGAGGATATAGAAATCTGTAGACTTGTACTCAAGTGACATACTTAGAGATCTAATAATACAAAAATCTAGCGATTTAAAAATATAGAAATATCAGAATATTATAACACATTAATTTTCCTGAAAGGTTCAGAAAAATAACCAGATTCTGAATACTTATAAAACTATCACACTGAAGTACATTAGACTTTTTCTTTTCTTGCACGAAGGTCATATTTTTCTTCACAAGATATAAGAAAGTTGCGCAAAAATTGAAGTTTACTACAATTCTTTCAGTTTTTTAATTAATTTCAATTTCTTGAATTCACTGAAAACAAATAATTATCGAGGCAAATTTTAAAGGAAATTAACAGCGATCGAACAATTCCTATTGAAACTCGTGTGTCTCTTCAAATATGTACATTTTATCCCATCTAGTTTCTCTCCACACGTTAGTCACGGCTGATAATATTGAACCGCTAACAGCGCATTGTGTCACATAACAAAGGAGCGTCCATATATTTATTAAACTGTGAGATATCCGGATGACAAATGAAACGCCAACAAAACCATACGCAATTGAACGAAACGCTGCATTCGCGAACGGGCAACAACGGTGCAGGCAATCACGGTCAATTTGATACTTTAGATTAACGCGGAGCGTCGATTATTTTCAATTATTGATATTGTGTAGTTTGTAATGGCACAGTAGTACAAAGGTTTCTCGCTATGCTATAGGCTGATGTTTTCACGCGATTTACAATTAAAGAAAAATTTTGATAAGATAAGTAAATCAGATACCGTTCGTCTATTATAACTATATTTAACTGAACAATAGATAGGAACTTCTTATCGAAATATCGACAGATTCTTGCTCGAAATGATGAACATTCTTGCCGTAAATCCTGTAACAATATCGACAACAATAGTTAAAAGTTTCCATATATTACCTAGATTAACAATATTATCTAGGTAGTTAACGCACTTTCATAGTAGATCCTCTGGGTCTGTAAAAATATAGGTTCATGTTAATAATGAAATAGTTCAACAACATTGGGCTTTTAAGATACTGTAAAGAATCAGACTAGATTTAATTATTAATCTTTTTATATACAGAATGTTTCAAAAAGAGGATATTTTACCGATTGTACTAAGAACATCACTGTTATTGAGTATACTCAGTATTGAACTATAGAGAATCACCTCAACTCTCATTAAATTAATATTTTTCAACAAGTTGTTTACGCATAAGTATATTTTTTTGAACACCCGGTATAAAATTATAATGCAAATTGTAATGTATAAAATTTTTAACAAATCATCCGATATCTCTCATATGTGGACATATTCAGTATTGAACTATAGAGAATCACTACAACTCTCATTAAATTAATATTTTTCAACAAGTTGTTTACGCATAAGTATATTTTTTTGAACACCCGGTATAAAATTATAATGCAAATTGTAATGTATACAATTTTTAACAAATCATCCGATATCTCTCATATGTGGACATATTCAGTATTGAACTATAGAGAATCACCTCAAATCTCATTAAATTAACATTTTTTAACAAGTTGTTTACACATAAGTATATTTTTTGGAACATCCAATATAAAATTGTAATGTATAAAATTTTTAACAAAATCCTCCGATATCTCTCATATGTGGATGCATTCGATATATCCACATATGTATGCGGAGTGTTCTGATGGATATTTTACTGTGTTCACGTAGGTACCCGTATGGCGGTAGTGAATACGCTTCTCCCGGTCCCGGCACGGGTGGGTCGGGTTATTACAATCATCAAGCGATGACAAACTACGAGCTTAGCGCCGATTATGTCGACAGCACGACGACCTACGACCCACGACCGACGCAAACGCAGGTCGCGGACACTGTCGCCCCTGATACGCCCTCCGCTGTCACCGCGACTGGGGTTTTGCCCAGCGTGGTCACCACCGGTGAGTGCTCTTTTTTTAACATTATCTCGTTCTACTTCCTTCGTATTCTTTCGGATTACCGACGAGCTTGCTTCTCCCTTCCTTCTACCTCTGTCAAACTAAACTGTGTGCTAAATTCGTACTAACTAAGTTTTATTATTTAGTAACATCGTTTAATATTCATCGAAAAATTCATGCTTTCCAAGTTTAATATTACTTGCTTTTGAAGTTATGTACAATTGATACCCTATTGGGGAACTGAAGAATAGATTATAAATTTTTACTCTTTGAAGAAAGATTCAGGGATAAAAAATTCATGTTAATGAAAAAATTCATATTAGAAAAAAATGTTGATTAATGATTCATGTTAAAAAGTCCAATTTGAAATTAGGAATAGATTGAATATTTTTTTGTAGATGTGTGTTGGAATTGTTAAAGTCAACTTCAAATTATTAAAGTTATAAAATTTTCTTCTTTATAGAAATATTTTATTTTACAACTTCAATTTGAAATTGTTAAAGTTAATTTTAAATTATTAAAGTTATAAAATGTCCTTCTTTATAGAAAAATGTTATTTTACAACTTCAATGTATCTGTCTATAAACAGAAATTGATATTCTTCCAATGGTACAGTAACTACTAAAGCATCACATATACCATGCAAGAGATCGGAAATTGAGTGATATGAGAACATTTCCTGCAAGATTATAATACAAAGCACTTGAGTGAATCGCAATGTGCAACATATCTATTACTCAGAGATCAAAAGTGGGATTTCAGAGACAGATGTGTTGATATCTCGAGATGAAGCAGAAATAAATTCGTTCCACTTGATATTCCGCTCTCTTAGGATGTTATATCATCGTTTTAACAGTCCCATATCTTCGAGCTTGCTTTCAGTCTGTCTGTTCCGTGAGAGTCCTCTGCTTTATTCATTTATAAAATCCTCTTCTCGTAAATATTAACAAGATTAGTCTTGATACTTGCGGAGGTAACAATTTTTGGTACAAAGCGTTGCGTTAGGAAGCTTGAGGTTATGAAGGTTGAACAGATGTTTTAAAAAAATTGTTTCACTGTCAGAAACGAAATTTTGGGTGTTTAATAAATTTGGTGGAGATTTGGAAATTTGGGGATTTGGAAATTTGGAGATTTGGAAATGTAGAGATTTTTGAGGTGTCGGGTTGGGTATATAGGGATTTGGGAAGTTAGAAGTTTGGGAAGATAGAAATTTGGGAATTTAGAGATGTGGGAAGTTACGGATTTGGAAATTTAGAAATTTGGGGGTTTGGATATTTGGAAATATAGAAGTTTGGAAATTTAGAGATTTGGAGATGTAAGAATTTGGAAATTTAGAGATTTAGGAAATTAGGTATTTGGAAATTTAGAGATTTGGAAGTTTAGGAATTTGGAAATTTAGAAATTTGGGAGTTCAGGTATTTGGGAATATAGAAATTTGGGTATTTAGAGATTTGGAGATGGAAAATTAGGAATTTGAAAATTTAGAGTTTTGGGGGTTTAGGAATTTGGAAATTTAGGGACTTAGGGATTTAGGTATTAGGAAATTTAGAGATTTGGGGGTTTAGGTATTTGGAAATATAGTAATTTAGGTATTTAGAGATTTGCAATTGTAAGGATTTGAAAATTTAAAGATTTGGAAATTTAGTGATTTGAGAATTTAAAAATTTAGAAATTTATTAATATAGAGATTTAAAAATTTGATTCAGTAATCTAACAGTTTAGAAATTTCTAAATTCACAAATTTAAACATTCAAAAAATTTAAGTATTTAAAAAAGTGAAATCTCCAAAGTGTCATTTCAAAACTATGGAATCCTCAGTTCTTCAAAAATAAAAAATTTCAAAAACATAAAATCATCAAACTTCCAAACTTCCAAATCATATATAAACTGCATATCTATGCTCTCTCTGGATTATCTAAACCCATAACAACATCACGTAATCGTATAAAACTCGTGACAAAATAACGCGTATCCATAAAAAAAAAATGCAAGTTACACGAGTGAATAGTGACTAGATCGAACGCGATACAAAGCTACTCGACCGGCAGACGAAGCTGAATCTCAGCCAAGTCGAGAGTTTATAGTTCCATTGAAGTTTATTGTTAGCGAAAGAGCGGTAACAAGATGTCAATCGATGAACAACCAGCGCCAAGTAGTACTGGTCCCTTTCAGTAGCACGCGGCTGATACAATTACCGTGTTTATCACTGCCAGTTCACTGCACGCCGGCTTCTGGTGAATAATATTGATATTGTAGCTCGAAGTAACGCAACAGTCATAAAGATACGATTGAATTGTCGTTCAGGAACCGTGACGGTGTTGCAGCAAACGTTTCTACAAACGAGAACGACTTCGTGTAAATCGTTTGTTGCTGTGCAACTTCCATTGACGCACGCTTGATTACTTTGCTGCAAAAAATTGTTACACCGTGAGATATCTGAAGTGACTCGTGATTCATTAACACCTTCGCTATCACACTGAATATGACGTTACACGATGTATTATGTACGTTAGTACAATACGTGACTTTTTCGATTGCTACTGCATTAGGGAGCTGATTCTTTTGATTTTCAATTGTCGAGACTTTGTGAAAAATTTGTAATTTTTGACAAGGTCTCAGTTTAAAATTCTGGTAAAGAATTTACTTTTGTCAGGACGATATTAATTGGTAATCTATCGTTAATAAATTTCAGTTTAAAATAAAATTATTTTCGTTAGGTAAGAATGAAAGTAGGACATCTATAAGTAGAACTAACTTAATTTTTATTAGAACGTTCTCTACGAAATTCCTTATAGATTGAATTAAATGAATAATATTATATTGGACTATTACCGAATTAGGCTAATTACGTCATATTAGATAACAGAATTAAAATGGTATAATGTATAGATGAGACTTGTTAGAATTATAGATAATATTTGACGTTTTGATTTGGTAATAAACGTGTTAAAACGTTTCTTACCATACACAGCTAATTTTCACTGTGACAGCTAATTTGTATTCATCCTTAATAATCCTGCAATAATTGAAATCTAAACTATTGAATTAATTTCCATTTTTGCGTCTTTTATTTACTAACACAATTGTATGTATTTTAATATTTCAAAACTAGTAAAACTAGTAAAAAATGTCAGTGGTTCTTAACTTTTTTGATGTCGTAGAAGACTTTTGATCAGAAGAAATAAATATGGAATACTGGTAGATCGAATTTTTGGAACTGGGACTTGGAGATTTTGGAATTTTAGAATTTTGGGGTTTGGAACTTAGAGTTTGGAATTATTACATTTGATATCATTAAATTATTAAAATTTGTGATTTTACAATTGATGGCTTTGAAACAAAAATTTTTGAATTTTGGAACACTTGAATTTCATGCCTCCATGATTTAAAATTTTTTTCATCTCAGAACCGTAAAAAGTAGTGCATCATAATTGCAAATAAATAAATGTGCAAAGACGACCATTTTCAAAATTGAATGCCTATCCATAAAAGTCCAAAACCAAGTCCAAAAATATAAGCATACCTAAATTGCATAACAGCATACCTAGATTACGTAACCACGAAAAAAAAAATAGTTATCAAAACAAGCAATCATTCTATGTAAGCTACAATCGAAAAACTTCAAAATCTCGTTCGAATCACCTTCACTCATATCGACCATATTAAATCGATTGCATCAAATTCACGAAACACCCCAGTTAAGAACCACTGTCGCACCCTTCGATCATCCATCAAACCCGCTATCTCACCTGACCAAACATCCTCTGAATGCTCGTTCCGCGAACAGCAGAAAAAAAGACCACCCCAAGTCCCACGAGAGCAACCCTAAAGAAAAAACGAGACAACAAATACCGAATGAACTTTGACTTTTGGCGTATCCAGGGAAGTCGCTGTCTGCCTCGACGACTGGAAGCAGCACGGGGGGTAGTGGTGGTGGTAGTAACGGCGGTGGAGGCGGTGGAGGCGGTGG